ACTTGTATACTTCTGTCTAATACAGTCGAGGGTCAAGTGAGTCGAGCCGACGAACGTTACTTGTTATATAATTAGACACTTATATAACTAAACAAACATTTTTTGAGGTTTTATGAGATCTTCATCTTTTAATCTCTTTTTTTCACTTAAAAAGTAAGAATTAAAAGAAAAGAGCTCTTTGGTACACTGTATCCTGGCATGCTCTTTCTAACAAAAAACAATTTAACATATAGAGTGAGTCTGGACCGAGAATTTAGGGTTGCCAAATAGCCTATTTTTGACTCTTGCTTGGTGACTATCTCTCTCAAATGTCAGGATATAGGTCTGAAAATTTTACCATAGGCTCTCCACTACAGCTCCAACATATCCTGAAAGTTTCATGCGATTTAACCATACCTGGGATGAAATTGATTTTTGAGGGGTATGTCAGAAGACGTCATTCTTGTTGTTCTCACCAAACTACGATGCTATTAGATTTTTCAAAACTTTTTTGTATGAATAATATTGTCTACATAAAAACTATAAAATCTGAAATTTTCAGCTTAATCGTCTCATTTTTCGTATATAATATTAGATATTCAATGGAATATCCTGCAGTGTCCCAGAACGTTTGCCCAAGGCCCTAATATTGAAACTTATATAACTTTCTACAGAAACATTCAATTCAAATGCTAATACAGTATACGAAAGGTCACTATTAGATCCATCAAAGCACATCACCATTTACTCATAATAGCTTCTTTACATAATATTATAAAAGCAAAAAGTTTCGCCCCGAACTTTTGACGGGCACTATATGTATCAAGTTTAGAGGTTCTGCACTTAGTCGTTTAGGAGAAAAACGATTGACAGTTGCCAAAATCTAAGTGTGTTACTTACGGACAAGCCGAATCCCGCCTTTACTCCGCTTCATTAATTATTTAAAACTACAACAATCCAACGAAACTAACGTCAAGTGCAATCTCTACGTGATTCAAGTCACAAACACAATGAAACCACTTTCGTCGGGAACCACAATCTCCACCACATATATCATGGTCTGTGATGAAATGCAAGCGGGCGCCATTCGAAATGTTCAACATGAACAGCGAAGCTAAACTCCCTTTTTCTACAGCTCGCTCACTGCTGACTAGGCAGGTTCGCGGATTAACTTTTCCCGCTGTATACTTTAACACTCATAATCAGCCCTGTTGAATAAATCATCTGCAAGCAACATGCATTCAAAAGAAGTGCATTAAACTTCGCCTATTCAGAACCCTTCCGCCACTTTTCGTCCCGACTGTAACCACTACTCATCAATATCTCTAGCGATCAAGAATGTACTACACACAACGATCCAAACTCTATTTGTTCACTTGTCAGAGAACTACCAATAAAATAAATCCAAATCATTTACCCGTTGCTGCTCCACTTACTCACCCACGCAACAAACCTATCCTTCCCGTACACGTCTTCCCCCACACAACCACATTTTGCACCCGCATGTAACCTCTCCGCCTAATCCCTGATATCAGTGCCCGACTCAAACAAAAAGATACCACTCAATTCTTCCATATACTCGTTCCTTTTTCCTCAAAACTACAAGACACTCAGTGGTTGTCATCCAGGGGGTCCAGATAGTAGTCGTGCCCGTGGTCGTAATAGCAGTAGTTGTCGTAGTACTCTAGGTAGTGGTTGTGGTCATAGACATACCGGTAGTCGTAGTCGTCATTGTGACGGTTGTCGTAGTAGTTGTGGTAGTGATTGTGGCGGTTGTTGTCGTAGTCGTGCTAGTGATCGTGGCGGTTGTCGTAGTCGTAGTGGTAGTGATTGTGGCGGTTGTTGTAGTGGTCGTCGTAGTGATCGTGGCGGTAGTTGTAGTAGTGGTGGTAGTGATCGTGGCGGTTGTTGTACTAGTCGTGCTAGTGACTGTGGCGGTTGTTGTAGTGGTCGTGGTAGTGATTGTGGCGGTAGTCGTAGTAGTGGTGGTAGTGATGGTGGCGCTTGTTGTAGTAGTCGTGCTAGTGATCGTGGCGGTTGTCGTAGTAGTTGTGGTAGTGATTGTGGCGGTAGTCGTAGTAGTGGTGGTAGTGATCGTGGCGGTTGTTGTAGTAGTGGTGCTAGTGAT